AATCAAAGCACATCTACCTTAACAAAAATAACTACCGAGCGATTAATGTTGCGCACAAGGGTATTGTACAACAACAAGTTAGAAATAGAAATACTTTATGTAAAAATATTTTTATTTCCCATCTCGCACCGTTGGGTGGAAGGAGTTCATTCGGAGCCTGGAGTTGGCGAACGGTAATGAAATCTATTAAATACCAAGAGAAATACCACGGAATAGGCAGGCTATCGCTGCAGTTACGTAATTTATCTATATAATGCCAAATGAGAGCGATTTAAAAATACTTGAATATAATAAATAGACACACTGGCATAGCAGAGCTGGAATATACCCAGCAGGAAAGTGGATGTGGTGTATGACTGGGAAGTAACCGCATATATTAAAGGGCCTCCGAAATAATCGTCGATTTTTAAAAGCAGTTTTTTTTCTGATCTAAAAGTGCCTACTGGACGAGATTCAGGTCAAGGAAAATTTGTAATTCTAAGGAATATTTTAGTAAATCATGTAGTGAAGTCAACTAGCGCTTGACTCTTCTCGTTCGATAGCAATTGGCAAAAATTAGTTAACCGATTGACAACGTGGTCGTACGTGGATTTTTGATGAGCATCTTAAAAAATCTGCTGTGTCATATCCTATATAAAATATTGGTCTTAAGAGTGCTGTCGGACCAATGGTTGTCACGTTTTCTCACTGCGAACAACAAGCGCACCGTAAGACTACTTCACAGTAAGTTTTTATGTTGCTTAAGCACATTCCGAATACGTTTCAGCGTCGTTTCGTAACGAAACTTGGATTCACTGTTATATTATACTTGTACATCGAAGGGCTAGAAACTGACGGAACAGTGTTCTTCATCCGGCATTTTCCGAAGAAGGTCAAGACCGTCCTATCAACCGGAAAAGTGATGTCTTCCGTTTTTTGGGTTTAGAAAGGTGTAGTTTAGATAGACCCCGAAAATGGAACCTTGAGGTTTCTTTTTCTTTCCAAACTAGATACTTCCGAAGATAGGATTTTGATACCGAGGGAATTATAGACACATCCGAAACACTTTAACTCGAGGAATCCACAAAACACGATTAATATTTCGGGGTATTTGGCCAATAATTTCTTCACAAACGATGTTGATAACTAGACGTCTTACAGCCACAGCGACTCTCTAAAAGATAATATTGCACTGAAATGAGAAGGAACTCGAACTGGTATTGGGTTCACTGTAACCACTCCGCAACCAACAATTTCTCTGCTAGTATAAACGCAACAGTGCAAGAGTAAATGAGAGAAAGCAAATTGAAATCGCAAGCGAAGGAAAAATAATAAAAAATATAATGTCACTAAAATCCATTAAAAAGGGATACGATAGCAAATGCGGCAACAGAAGGCCAAACAGCGAGCAGGTCGCTCTGACCGACCGATGGATTGTGAGTGAGTTGGCGTGGCTATGGGTCGATTGGTTTGCTGGTCACCGCTGCAGAAAAACGAAAGTAGAAAATTCAATAAAAATTCAGATAACTTAATGTGCGAAACACATCAACCGCCAGCACTGCGCTAAACCCCGCGCAGCTGTGAATGAGAAAATCGTCTACGAGCAAAATTTTGCAATGAAACTAAAAAAATTAGAGAAAGATAAAGAAAAGTTTAAGTGAATTTCAATGTAATTTTTGTGTGGCAACTTTACTATGTAAGTATGTGTGAGAAACACATTATGGTCAGCGCGTGGTGTGGGAAAATCAAAGAAAATAAAAGAAAGAGCAACCAAATGCTGCACTCAATTTGCGCTGGTATTCTACAACAGCGTAATACAAAGTCTTGAATGAAAGTCGCTTGTACTTTGAAGCGGTTCAAATACAAATTGTCGTAATAGATCAAAGTGTGACGGGACTGGAATGTATCAATTAGGATTTATTAAGCTGAAAAAGCATGGAATTCGCGCGGAGATACTTTGTTGCGGCTGCCGCGATATTGTGTGTACGCCCTTCCGCCACTGACAAATTCATTCATCACGTCAGGCGTGTAGACGAAACGAAGGAAGGCATGCATTACGAATAGAGTAGCGAAGTCTTTTTTATTGAAAGCCACAACACTCTGCGGTCAGTTGTCGCGGCATATTGCAGACAATTTGAAAATAATTGTTTTTGCGGTTTTGTACAAATCGTTTTACACTCTAACGCCAACATTTGTCTTCCACTTACAACGCCCCTGCCGCCCCTCTTGCTCATTCGCACAAAGTATTTCTGCTGTAATGCCTTAGATGCCTTGATGCTTTCTCAAGTTGCGCGCTTAAAATATTTAACGCCTACACACACACACACACACTCATCCATTGCATGTAGTGGAGCTTGTAAGTAGAACTTTTTAATTCCTCTTCGGCATTCAACTTATTTGATTTCTTTTCACTTGGTTTTTCGCTGATTAACTTTTTCCACTCAGCTGCTTTTGAAATTTTATTTTATATTCCCTTTTTTTTTACTTAGCTACTTATACTGCTGCTTTACACCGGACATAGCCGCATATGCCTATTTCCGGCGCGATAAGCAGTTTAGCAGTATCTCACACTAAATAAGTTCAAAATTTTGCCTTTTCATGCGATAACTAAGAAAGCGGATTAACTTTCAATTACATTTTGTCACGTTCTTTATCGAAAAAAAAGTGGAGGTTTTCGAAAATAAAAGTATGAAGAATTTATTTGTTTTCAGAAGGAAATTATTTTCTGCGGCTTACTTTTAAAAACAAATATTTTATAATGAAAAATATTCGGAAGTGGAATTTTATTGCTAGCTCGATAATCCCTCTTCATATTATAAAGCATTTTTACCTCAAAGCGAGGTAGATGTTAGATAATACCACGCTAAGTTACCCGAAAACTACGCTCTTTTAAACATTTTAAATAACATACGTATTTACAATTATAAATTGGTAAGTTTTGAAAAATTCGAACTAGTTTCAGAAGTTGGTAGTCGAGCTAGTACCTAGCCGGATCTTAAAAGTCCCGATGAGCATTAAATAGTAGCATGACCAACGGGTACATAGCAGGTAGTCAACAACTCATTCTTTAGCTTCATACTTTTATTCGTGCATCGACAAGAAATCTTACACCTCCAGAGCCGGCGGTTTAACATGTAAAATGCCCTTTTACATACTTAGAAACCCTTTAACGAAACTGAACGAACTCTCGAGTTAAGGTTTTGTTTCCAACTGATTTTGAAACTCAAAACCATACACACTCTTGAAAAAGAGAATAGACTTCTTCAACCCAACGATACTGTCGTGACTCACTTTGAATATAAATAATTGTCAATCTTGTGAACTTGTGGAACACCACAAACCATAAGTAGTACTAGATAGTAGCTTTACCGCTTACACTTAAGACAGACCAAAACTCTAAAAATTTAAGTAATGTTTACAATATCAATATTTAAGTAATGTTTACAATTATATCTGCAATATCATCTGATCAAATTTTACTGGTCTGACTGGATGGCCCATTTAAACTGCACGTGCAAACTGAGTCGATAAAAAATGTGTTCCTACGTTCGCACAACCCTTTTTTTTAATTCGTGTGAACTTTGATCTCCAATGTTAATTAGTGCGCGTTTGGCAGCTGTTGCAGCTTTGTTTGTTTACGAGCCGAAAAGTTTGTCTGGCGAGTTTTACCATGGAAAACAGATTTAACAACGAGTTTGCTTAAAATTTTGTGTTACCAATGGAATCACGGCTTCAGAGTAGCTGAAAATGTTGCAAAAGTTTTTTGCAGAGTCTACTTTATTACGAACAAAAGTATTTGAGTGGCACAAAGCATTCACAGAGGTCGTGAAGTCATCGAAAACTTGCCTCTGTTAATGACGATAACACTGAAACACCAAAATTTAAAGAAACGGTGCCTGAAGTCCTCGTGTTGGCATCTGAGTGATAGTAGAGAACCTCAACATCTCTTATGGATCGACTCAGTACATTTAGGTTGAAATGTGTCAATGCTGGACTCGTATCAAAAGACCTGAATCTTTCACGAAAACGACGTCGAGTAGAGAACAAAAGATGCTTGACAACGTAGCCGAGAATCCTACATACATTAAACACATTATAACTAATGACGAGACGTGGGTTTATGAATATGTCGAAAATGTGAAATAATCTTCGAGGTGAAAATGTCAACTAGAATGGATACTGTCCGAACAGTGAGAGAGTTGGAGAAGTTTCGAAATATTTGTCGCATCTGAAGTCGCTGATTTTTAACCCACTTTTAGAACTCGAAGAGGTAGTCGAGTGTTCTTTTGCCGCTCACGTTCAATTCTCTTCTAGTTAACGTGCGTTATAAAGTAGTGGCCGGATGATCAACTTAAAAGCACATTATCTAAAACGAGCCAACACTGAATCGCGCTTTCTAAGCTTAGAAATCAATAATATTTAAACTTTTTCCAACTTTTTGGTGAAAACAACGTTTTTTTTCCAGGGGTACTCGTTCATTTTCATTCACCCAACGTGACCCACAAAAGCTTTTTACTTCCATGCGCATGACATTAGTGCATAAGTGCGGCAATATATACAACTTAACATAAGTGACCCTTAAGCTAAACATCTTCACACTCAACTTCATAAGCCGCATAAATAGATGTGGGTAACTGAAGATATTCATCACAGCTGAGTTGAGTCGGAGCCCAATTTTTGGTCAAAAACGCCGCCGGCCAATTAATATGTTATGCACAAAGCCGTTACATAAGACTCCATTAAGCAACCAATTAACAATTCAATCACGTTCGGTTCATATAAAATTTCATTAATGTGGAATTCATGTTTATTTTGTGTATTTTAACCAGAAAAAAAAAATACCCTGAAAAAAGAATATAATGTCAGCGCTTGTATTTCAATTGCAATTGCCTACATACTTTTAACGGTTTAGTTATTTATTTTCTATTTTTCGTACGAAAAAAAGTTCGTTAACCTCGCGCGAGTCTTAAGAAGTGACCAAAAATACAGTTTTGAAATTAAAAGTCCAAAACATTACTTACCCAGTACAAACAGCATGGCGATGGCCATTGTTAACATCTGATGTTGCTGCAACATGTTGCTAGTGTTGGTTGCTAGTTGGCTGCTGCTTGCGTTCGCTCTCTAATTTTGCAACTCTCTTTGTATTTTGTCGCACTGTTTTTTAGTTTTGTTTTTGCTTTTTATATTTATATTTATATCCTTGAATGCGACGCAGTTGTCTCAGCACTTTTATGAAAATTAGCGCGTGTTCCGGTTGCTAATATTTTATTGGTTTATATTATTGCTTATTCAACAACAATTTTTTTTTACCACTTATGTACTTATTTATGTACTTGTATGTGTAAGATTTGTATTTCCGGTATTTCAATGAACTTTCACAATTTCTTTTTTATTTTATGATATCTCGCCAACTTTTCCTTAAAGAGATTATTTATATATTTTTTAATTTACTACAAAAATACTCGTATATAATTGCTTCAGCTTAAGTTTATTTACTCGCATTTGATTTTCTGTATTTTCATTATACAATATAATTGATTTGACGGTGCGCAGATGCAAAGAGAAAATATGAGATAAAATAAAAAAGTAGCCAGTGTTACATAATACCTCTATAAATAAGTAAGTAATATTAAATCATTTTTGAAACTAATTGTTAAAAAAAATGAAAAAAATTAAAAAGCGATATAACAAAATGCATGTGTCTATAAAGAAACATGCTGGAAACGAGTACAAATGCCATTTTCAACATTATTGATAATTAGATAGGTAGGTAGCTAGAGTGGCTGTCTGACGAGGCAACTAGGCCTATAGGAGGCCCGTTGTGATACCACCAGGACTAATGTTCGCTCACTCTATTGTCTTCTCTCTGAACCAACCTGTGCTTTCGATGAAGTTCATCAGTATAAATAGTTTTATAAGCTAAGAATATCTGATGAGAAATTTCGAGAAAGATGCTTACAAAGATATCTAAAACAAGCCAGCTAAAAGTGTTCAATGCGCTCCCAAAAAGTGGTAAGAAGAGTTAACAGATGTAAGTATTTAACTTCTAAGAATTATCAGGTTATAGGGTCAATACAAGCGAAAGGCTTCTAATTCACGATCTTTTAAGAGTCAAACCTCCACAAGCGAAATTTTTGTTAAACCCATTAAGTATCCGATTTGATAGTATTTTTTATAAAGACACATTTATAATTGGGCTGCGGCTCCTCTTGAACTCATAGATGAAAAAAACCTTAATTTTGGATTGCCGATCTACCTAACCAGAATGGACCCAGCTCCCTTCATTGGGCCTAGGACTGTCAGCTCGACAGCATTTTTCAAAATTATGTAGTGCAAGTTTTTTACCGCTACAACAATAACAGCTCTGAGTTTTTTATTCAACAGCTCATCTTTAACTGACTCTCAAGAAGTAAAAATAACTTCTCACAAAAATTTTAATGGCACTGTAAGTATTTAGTTTCAGATAGAGCGGCAGAGGTAGCGTAAAGTTCTTCCACGCTCGAATTCCTGGACGGACTAAGGCAGACCCAAATTGATGTTTTATAATATGGTAGATAAAGGTTTTTTTTTAAATATCATAGGAAATTAAGGATTAACAAGCTAGGCTCCCTGCTTTGATTGTCATAAGAACAAGGTAAACCATAATAATTGATTAATTTATTAAATGCAAAGCTAAAGAAAACAGAAAGTTAAATTCTTCTGACACTAAGCACATATATAAGATAGTCTAAAAATTACATTTGGCCAGGTTAACTATGCTTCAAATATATTTTCGCTCACTATATAAAAATAATGGGCAAAACCTAAAAAAATAACACAAAGCATTTGCAAAATTCAATGCACTCTGAATAACTGAAAATATATATTATTTATGTATGACTAGCAATACACTTAATATGGGTGTGTAAACTGCACGTCTGCGCACTTTGGAAGCAAACTATTTTTGGCACTTGTTTATCCAAACAAAGTAAAAATATTTTTTTCTTCAAGCTTTACAATTAACAAGTGGCGCTTGAAATGAAAAACGCGTCGCAGAACCAAGCCTTTAAACTTATTTTTTAAACACGTATATATATTTACTGTTATTATACAGTATGTAAGCCTCTTCGACGCACTGCATTTAAGCACTGTGACAATAATATTTAGACAAACCTCTACAATGATCGCTGCGAACCGCACTGCTCTGAAACTCGTCTGTAACTGAAGGTAAAAGTCGGACTCCCAGCTTAATGAAGCGCCCGCCGTTCGAAGCTTAGCGGCTCCAGCTCCGAAAAGTCATTGTAATAATACACATAAATGGCAACTAAGTGTACGAAGAGGTGGGGGGGAGGTAGCCAGAAAAGACAGTAACAAAATAAATGTTCGATGCTGCCGACGATCCGGCTACTGTAGTGGTTGTGACTTTAGCGTCATAGCGGCTTACAGCACATTTGTGGTAAGCGCCTTTGGGCCGCTGGCAACACCACCAGCAGCTTGGCGGCGGACCACGCTGCGACTTAAGCTTATAGCTTTTTGATTTTGTTGTTGTGTTTTTATTTTCATTACTTGTGACTTCGTTATGCCAACTTATTCAACTTATTATTGTACTTATTGCTGCACTCGAGCGTGAGTTTTTCTCATCATCAATCTCTTTGTTTTGGCTATTGTTTATTTATATTTATTTTTTTCTATTTACTCGTTTTTTCTCTCAAGCGATTCAATTATAATTTTCTTTAACATTGAGTTATTTAGACAATACCGTTAGTTACGCTGTTCAATTTGCGCTTGCTGTGCGTTAAGATGACTTGTTTAATTTTTCAAATACCTACTTTTTTACAATCTACCGATCATATTTGGTGATTATTATGTATTTATATCAAAGGGTGGACCTAGTAAATAATTGAGGAAGTGTTGATTTCTTTTTTCATTTCTCCTTTGACAATATTCATTATTCTAGTTTAAAGTCACTAATCTTTTATAATAGTATTTCATCTCCTCGGATTATACTCTCTACAAAGGTTTATTTTGCCATCATAGTCGGTATGCGACTTTCATAAGTGAAATGCGCCTGATTGTAGGCAACGATTAGACATTATTATTTATGAAAAGCTAAAGGACAGATACTAGACTACAGATTTTACACAGACGAGGCTATTTAAACTGCAATCACAAACCGAATCCCAAAAGTTCGTCGATCGATTCCATAAAAAATAATTGCACAACGAATTTGTTTGAAATTTTGTACAATATTTCCAATGGAATCACGGCTAAGGAATTGTTAAAAATGTTGCAAAAGTGTTTTGGGGAGTTTACTTTATCATGAACGAAGTATTTGAGGGGAACAAAGCACTAAATAAAGGTCGTGAAATCATCGAAAACGTGCCTCATGTGTTAAGCGACGCTTGACAACGTAACTGGGGGGTTTATGAATATGATGTCAACGCTCCATTGTCAAAAATTAGGTACAATACAATTACCGACGAGACTGTTAAAGGCCAATTATTGATACTAGACTTACTGAAAATTTTCGCAAAACATATTATAAATATCCACACAAATTTTCTGTTGCCTATACTAGTACGCAATAATTTTTCAGTGGTGAACTCACAATTAGTCTCAGCCAAATGAACACATACTTATCGCAATGACTTTAAAGACTTGGCTAAAACGTTAATACATGATGGCCCCCTTCGCATGACAGCCAGCTCTCCCGCATTCCTACATATTTCCAACTGTTCGCTGGTTATTGCCTAGTTGCCACCAGTGACCGGGTTGAGCTTCAATCGCCGCAACATAACTTGTTCAAGTAGCTGGTGTGCATGCGCACTTGCATTCATACTGAATTCCCCTACTCGCATAACTATTAACCAGTACAACGATACATATTGGCTCAAGTACGAGTTCGAATACCGGTTCCAGCGTTTTCTTACTCACTTTCGCTTTTCATTTGCATTCTTTAAATAGCAATGAAGTGTTTTCTTACTATTTTTTTTTGCCATTTACTTTTGCTTCACATTGTTATGCGCAAGTAATGTCGGTTTGTATATACTTATAATTACCGATTACATGAAACAAACTTGGGGAAGAGTCGGGTGATAGCTGATATTAAGAAGAAAAGAAGGAAAGCATAGAAAATTGGCAAAGGAATATTCTGAATAGACGAAAGCTCTTTAAAAAGTGAAAGCTCAGTCATAAAAAATAGAGACCAATAGTCACCTTTTAACAGTGAAGCCCTAAAAAATGGCGGAAGACACACAATCTAAAAGTGTCGAGTGTCTTTCGAATAAAATACATCATCAATTACTGCATTTTTTAATTAAAATCCATACATCCTATTATTAGGATAAGTCGGCCACTCATACGCAAGCCTGAGGGCCAATACGAGATTTTACAGCATTTCGTTGATATCTGTTTGACATGCCGGATTTTGCTTGGACAGCCTAAGTTTGAGATCTTTACGCGCTTGGAAGTCTCTTTCAGTAAGATAAAAGAGTTATAGTAGTTCTGAAATGTAGGAAATTTTGATGCCTCTGGCAACTTGCAAACATTTAATTAGCAAACATGTTATAAATCTAGCTGAGTCTCGGCGGAGACAATCGCTATTGAGCAAGTTAGTAGACAAATGTGGCAGGAATGGAGCATGAGCCGCACAAACCCAGTATTAAAATTCCAAAGGAATGACATAAGAACTCTGATAGGGGTACTAACAGATCATTGTCTTATTGGTAGACATGTCAGCAGGCTGGGTGTACCTTACAACGACTATTGTAGAAGCTCTCAGGAAGTGGAAGAAGGCTCTATACAGGAAAAGAATCGCAAATATCGGTCGAGGGTTCCTTGACGACGTGTCGGAAGTTGCTCATATAAAACTATTTATACTGAGTAACTTCATCGAAAGCACAGGTTGGTTCAGGGAGAAGATAATTAAGTGAGGGAATATTAGCTCCGGCGGTATCACAATGGGCTTCCTATAGGCCTAAATGCCTCTACCTACCTACCTAGTTCTGAAATGTAGTAACGAAGGACGTATTCGCCTTTATTAGCGGTGTTTGTAGGGAAGCTCAGAAAACAGCAACCGAAATATCCCAAATGATATCCATTTAACCCAACTCAAACAACAAGGTGGCGCAGTGGGAATACTATTACCGACATGAAGCTCGTTTAACCCGAAGCGATGATTCGAAATGATGCGGAGCTAGAAGACGAAACATCAGACTGACCGAAATGAATCGAGAATCCGAATGATCTGGAATGAAGTAATGGAAGTTAGGGAGTAATAAATGAAATAAACCGAAGAGCTAAAATTAGATTCTTTGAACCAGACACAAGCTGACGAAGTCTGAAGGAACATGTGCTCGAAGTTCTGACATGAAACCTCTTAATCGAGGTGCCATTTGTTATTAAAGCTACGGAAAATGTTTTTAAACCGAGTTTTGATAGTCTGCAGAAACATGAGATCGAAGGAGTAATAGGAAAAATGTATATATAATTCAAATACATATAAGGGGATTATAAAGACTTAGCGGAGAACTCATCTGAGTGGTGTAAACTGGATCACATTAGAAGGGGAAGGGGAATCTCACACACAACTACTATTTTTTCACTACACCCTACTTTATTCTTCTCAGTTAGCGCAAGTAAAGCATAGAAGGATCACATGTAATAAATAAATATTTATAAACATATGTATACATATATATATATACATGTATATACATGTATGTATTATATATGCATGCATATACGTACTTAGCGCCGACTTTTATTTCATTTATGCACCAAATTCGAGATTGTCGTAAATATCAAAAGTTTTTTTTACTTTTTGCAGCACCAAAGTGGCCGTGCCGGTTTTAAACTCGTAAATTCATGCGCTTACTACTCCGTATGCATGTGTGTCCGTGTGTAGTGTATGTGCGCGATTGTTATGACCAACTATTGCCGCCGATTGCATCGCTGATGACCAGCAGCGTTTAACGACGATTTGCGAATTCGATGATTGCTTTTCGCTCCGTTAGCTGCACTTCAACCCAGTTTGAATTAATCGCAGCGCAACGCTAAATCCACTATCCGGCAAGCAAATCAATTCATTGCAATATTTTCGTAGCATTGCGGCGTTGTTGCTGCTGCTATTGCTGTTGGCAATGTTGCCTGGCGACTCATCAATGCTGCAATGGATGATGATGGCATCGGAGCCATATACGAGCATACGCAAGTGCAGCACGTAGTGTAGATATATATTTATATACATATACATATACATACATATATATTGCATTTATCAACACATATTACACCACAAATGCACACTTGTGTGTCTGTCTGCTCTTGCAATTGCTTCGATTTGTTTCCATGTTCGTTTATTGAAAAGCATACTCAATCGCTGTCTTGTTGTTGTTATATTAATATGTAAACCATTGTTGTTGATTGCAGCCCAAACTCTTCGTGATGATCACTTCCATCTTTTGTGTCTCTGGATTATTCGCCACTGCTATCGCACTGCTTGGCAGCGGGACTAGAATGGCCACTTCAGTTCCCCCATTCGGCTGTGCCTTGTCATCTCGCGGCTGCTGTGCGATTTATTGCCCCCCTTCAACGCCATTCATCGATATTCAATTGCAGCATCAGCTTAGTATTCTGTGCTCGGCGCACAGCTGCCAATTGCCTGGTGGCTATTTCGATTTTCATTAGCCGAAAATTTGCTTTGATAGCCGAATGTTGAAGGTTATTTTTGTTTATTATTTACATAATATTTTTTGAACCCCGAAACTGTTTTATACCCTGCACAGAGTATATTAAGTTTGCCACGAAGTTTGTAATACCCAGAAGTAAACGTCGGCGACCCTATAAAGACTCGAGACAAGCTGAGTTAATTTAGTCACGTCCGTCAGTCTGTACATACGCGAACTAGTCCCTCAGTTTTGAGATATCGATCTGAAATTTTACACACATTCTTTTCGCCCCAAGCAGCAGCTATTCTCTAGGAACCGTCGATATGGGCCACTATAGGAAATAGCTGCCATACAAACCTGTCAATCCAAATCAAGCCCTTGTATTGAAAACTCCATTATTTGACACGATATTTTCGTGAAATTCGACATGGAGTAGAGCCAAAAAGGTTTTTAGATCGGTTTACTATAGCATATAGCTGTCATAAAAACATGCCAAACCAAATACAGTTCTTTTATAAAAAATATTTTTGATTTGTGATTGGCATTATAGCTTCGGTGCAG